GGAGGGGGTTCCTTTTGATAAAAATTGCTTTGGGTGTGTGTGGAGGATGCACTAAGGGGGCGCTAGAGTGTGAGCTGGCAGCCAGTTAGGAGGTCCCCGGGCCGTGCAGGGGAGACCGCGGTGTGGTGGAGGGTGGGCCTGTGCCACCTGGGGGTAGGGGGAGGCTCTGCAGGGAGACTTGCTTGACCCGACCGACGGTCCTGGAAGGGGCGGGTCAGGATGCCCCTAGAATTTACTGAGATGAGAAACACACTAGGGAGGGGGATCATGACTTCTGCTGGACCAGTGGGGGTTGAGATGTTGGGTAGATGGTAGAATATAAGGGAAGGAGGTCTGGGCTCTCTTGGTGGCAGGTAACAGACACCTAGAAGGAAGGATCTCCCAAAGGTTTTGAGTTTTCTCCCTGGGCCCCAGGGCGGGACTCAGTGGGACCTCAAGGAGGGTGTGGGGCGTGGGAGGGAGCCCTGGGCACCCTCCACACTGCCTGTCTGTGCACCTGCCCGCTCTTCCTTCTTGCTTCCCTCTGCCCAGAGTGCCCTGCTCGGCCCCCTCGCCAAGTGACTGGCTCCTCTCATCGCCCCCACTCTCTGCTTAAATCCTGGGAGGAGGTCTCCTGAGCTCAAGTTGGCTGCCCCTGCTACTCTTGCTCTCATCACTCCACGTATTTCTTTTATGGCTTTAATCACAGTTTTACCCATCTGTCTGTCTGCTTGTTTATTTTGCTGGGCCTACGGCCTTCCCCGCTAGAGTGCCAGCTCCCCAGGAGCAGAGGCCACTGTTTCCTTCACTCGGCTCTATTTGGGGCTTAGTGCTTCTTCACACATAGTGGTTGGATTATGAAATCTGCTCCCGGTGCCTCAGATGCTCAGTACCATGAGCACCTCAAAAGTGTCAGTCAATCTTAGGGATTAATTTCATTCCTGAAGACTCTTTGCCACAAGAGAAAAGAGGTCTTACTCTCTTCCTGCAGGAAAGTTGACTGGACAGGGGCTCAGGGAAGGGGGCAAGTTAGAGGGGCGCAGGGTTAGAGCCAGAGCACTGCCCGGTGATCAGCAGCAACCAGGTGCTGAGCAGTCTGGCCATGACACCCCTCCCCTTCCCAGCCTCTTCTTGGCAGAGACGGCCATAGGCAAGACTAATATGAATGTATGGTTTGACTGAGAGGCCTCTGCAAATTAAGCCTGGAAACAGGATATCCTTAATAGTGGTGACAGATAAAGGGTCTAGAAAATGAAAAATTTTTTGTTTTTTTCTTCGGTTTCTACCCCCTTTAGAAAATAGTTTGACAAATGATTTCATGTAGCAATTATAAAATGAGTAAAGAAAATTAACCCAGCATCTCTGGGGACTCCCCTTAGGGTCTGTCACGCCTCAAAGTCATTCCCAAGACCCTGGGTCCCTAATCAAGGCATCAAGTCCATTTCTTCCTCCAGCCTTTGCTTCCTGAGTTTTACAGGAATCTGCTTCCTTCCAGAGGCGAGGGCCATTGTCGTGTGCTACGTGTGCTCTGGGGGAATCTGACACAGGGCCACCCAGCCCTAACAGGTCCCCCAGTGCTCTGTCAAAATGTGCACCCTTTGTCTTTGGGAAGCGGAACGCTCTGGAAAGCTCCATCTTTGCTCTCAGGCATGTTTGGGTAGCATAGTCACCTTAAATATATTTCTTTCTACCTAAGAGCTGAATCCCAAGGGGACTGCAGGAAACAGAACAGTTAATCTCATCACTAGATGGTTGGGGGTTGGAGGGTCAGCCTTGGGTCGGCTCCGGGTAAGCTGCCACCCCATATGGACCCCCCTTTCTCTGCAGGTCAAGTCTGAGCAGGGCCCTGGTACATGGCCAGGTGTGCTGGAGGCTGTTCCTGTGGCCTGTGCCCAGCCTGGTGGGTGGACCAGAACTGAGGCCCACTGGAAGTGGGCTCCATGTATTTGCATGCCTACTGCCTTTGTTTTTTCTCTGGCTCGCATTTCCTCCAGCAGGTAAATAAAAAAGAGGCTGGGCACAAAGGTGAGATGCTTGTACTTTATGGAGGGGGGCCAGGCAGGCCAGGCTGATGGGGATGGGGTGAAGGAAGCGCCGGGAGCGGCAGGAGCTGCAGTGGTTGGAGATCTTCAGCTTGTAAATCCTAAGCACAGAGTGGGCTTTTTAATTATTTTGTCCTAAAACAAAGAAACAAAAACCCCAAAACCCTTAGTATAATAGTGAATGAACCTCAGCATTAGGCCAAGACCCCAATACACAGAAACTTTGGTGTCAATTAAGAGGCTCAATTGCTGTGGGAGGAGCTAAGCTCCTAAGGGCTTGGGTTGTTTCTCAGCAGCCTGGTAAGGGAAGGGGAAATGGCTGTGCCTGCCCCCCACACCCAACCCCCTCCGCAGGGGACACCTGCATTGTGACCCTCCTCTCTGGGTTAGGAAAGGGTCCAAAACTGGGCCCACAGTGCTGCCGAGGGACTTGGGGACCCACCACCAAGCAGCTCGGGCAAAGGAAGCTCGTACCATGGCCCTCCTGATGTTGTCCCTGTCCTGCTGGGGCAGGGTGTCCACCAGTCCCTTTATCTTGATCGCCACATCTTTCATGTCCGCATCAGGGCTGAAAACCTCTACTGAGGTCTCATAACTGGAAAGCGTGCTCACGAAGAAGGTTTTAATGATAAAGTCAAAGCAGATCTCAGCACTTTCCCATGGTGGCAGCTCTTCCGCTGAGTCTCTCCCAGCTGCAGACGCCGGGCCTGTCAGCAAGAGATAGCAGCCTTTTCATCGAGGACACAGCATGTGAGAGCTGGTGGTGCTCCAAGCTCTTTGGTGCTGTGTGGCAGCTTCCTGGGCTGCAGCCCACTTCTGCGGCTTGCCCGAGCCTCCCTTGCACCTTCCTGGGTTGGGGTGGGGGCAAAATGCCACTTGTTCTTTCTCTTAGGGCTCTAGGCAGACTATCGATCGCAAAAGCTGCTGATCTGATTTTTGATGCAGTGTGTGTGTGTGTTGGGGGGTTGGGAAGAGACCATTGAGGGTTTCCAGTTGTTGTTTTAGCAAAACGTGTCTCTTACCAATGGTTAATGAGAGTCTGAGCCACTCCTCACTGGGGCACATGGCAGAGTCAGGCTCTGGCAGAAAGAAGGCCTGTACCCCCGAGCGTGCACCGTGAGCGCTGGGCCCTGTGGGGCGCTCACCCACAGACAGACACTCTTCTTGTGCCTGTGCCTCACCCCACTGTGGCCCTTTCACCCGGTGTGCTCCCAGGCCCTGCTCCCTTTCCAGGTCCCTGCCCCCCGGGACACGGGGAGAGCCCCAACGTGGCCAGTCCAAACCAGAGCTCTCCAGAACTTAGATCCCTGCTTTGCAACTATGTTCTCAGGCAGGTGACCGTAGCTCAGTTTTCTGGTCTGTGAAATGGGGATAACATCCCTGCTTTGCAGGGTTGTTGTAAGAATGAAGCGAGATAGTGTGTGAAAGGGGCTCAGAACAGGCACGGGCACATGGTGAGCACTGAATAAATGTTAGATGTTGTCGTTATTATTAGATGTGGGACACAAACGCATCCCAGACCCACCCCTTAACATATTTCAGTGCTATGTGGCTGAGCCACCCCCTCTGTACACAGCACTGAGACCTCCTAATTAATATACATTTTAGTCCTAAATGTTATTTTTCCTTAAAAACAAATATCTACACAATAGCTGTTGCCACTGCCTCTTAGTTTTGGTTTTTTAACTCCCCCACTATTCTTCAGGGTCATAAAACTTATCACCATGGGTATTATGAAACTTTCAAAGTCAATTAATTGGAGTGTGTTCAAAAATATATATTTTTATTGTTTATTGAAAGGAGTAGAATGGCTGATACAGAGTAAAAAACAGGTGACCAATTCCCAAAAGAGATGAAGGGTTTGGAGGGAGGTGTGATCCACTTTTCTCCCTTCTCTCTCTCCCCCCTTTCCGATCAGTGACATCTGCAACTATTCAGATTCCTAATCCCTTCTTCAAAGGACAAAACTGTTTAGAAAACTCCACTCTGGGCTGGTAGTTTCCTAAAGGGAAGATCCCTTTCTAGAATATTCCTCTGCCAGGAATGGGAGATCTTGCCTTAGCCTGGGTTTCTTTTGGACACCTGAGGCTCTGCAGCTCCTTCCAGCTCCCGTGGCTGCCAGGGTTGGGTGGAGACCTCAAACCTGGAGGCTGCACCAAGATCTCTAGGCATCTTGGGGTCCATCCAAGATTGGGCTTTGGGGAGCTCATTACCTCACTTCCCTCCTTCCCTCCCGTCTAGTCCATTCCCTGGAACTCTGAGGGTGTTGGATGTGGAAGATTAGATACTTTTCAGGTTTCCTCATAGCCTCGGGGCTCTTCCCAAGTTTTCAGATGGGCTGGTCACCAGACCCAGCTTCCTGGCTTGGCCTCAGCAGTCCCAGGCCTCCCAGCAGCTGAGCAGAGGGCGCAGACAGCTGCCCCTCTCCTGGGCGGCAGGGAGGGTTCCTGAGCCCAGCTTGGGGGCGAGGGGCTCTGGGTACTCACCAGGGCTGCAGCAGAGAGCCAGGGTGGCCAGGGCGAGGGGGCAAGCAGCCTTCATGGTGGCGGAAGGCTGGTGAGGGAGGCTCTGGCCCTGTCACTGGACTGTGGTCTTGTGTGACCATCGGGTGCTTTCTTATATCCCTCCTCCGAAGGGGGGGGGGAGGGGGGACAGGGCTTGGGCTCCACTTAGGGGCCCATGATATTTATTTGGGTATTGACTCGGTGGGAAAAGTAAATATTCTCTTTTCTTGGCACAGTTTCTGTCCCCACTGAAACGGAGCTCACACAATGAGCCACTTGGTGATGGTGGGGGGAAGAGCCCAGAATCCTGTGTGGGGGCAGCAAGGGGACCTGAGTCGGAGGGTGTGGGGACCTGGCCGCCTGTGCCACTCTCTTTGAACCTGAGCACAGGGGCAGTTGGACCAACAGAAGCAACTATAGAGCCCCCCTGGGCCCGCCACCCGAGGAGAAACTGAGGCTCACAGCTCTCTCAAGTGGCAGTGACAAGACTGGGCCTGGGGACGCCCACTGCTCCAAGGCAGACGGCTGGACCTCCAGCCTGAGTGTCGCATGGTGAGGGCATCGTTGTGGTCAGACTCAGGGAGCTCCTGAACCGAAGCCTGGTGACGGATGGAGGACTTCTCCAGACAGACTCCCATCAGGAGCCCGAGAGGCGAGGCGTCAGGCTGCAGAGTGCACCCCCCGGGCTGGGCTGCGCCCACCGAAGCTGCTCGGGGCCTGCCCTCCTGGTGGCCAAATCCAGGGCACCTTCGGCCCTTATCTCGCTTGACCTCTTCGTGGCCTTGACCCTCTTGACATTTCCTTCTCGAACTGTTTTCTCTCCTGTGTTCCCACGGCTCAGTTCTTTTCGGTTTTCCTCCCGGTTCTTTAGACCTTTATTTTTCTCTGACGCACTGACGTGCTGCTGGTGCCAGGCTTTGGCCGTAGCCCCCTCTCTCCTCCGGCCTCCCGTCCCCTGGCTGCTCCCTCCCCCTCCCCTCTCCAGCCCCGCCTGGGCACAGTCGCCTCTTAAATGGCCCCCACCTCCTTGCTGGCCCCTTCAGCCACCCTCAGAAAGACCAGCAGAGACATCTCTCCAAAGCCCACTGGTTGTGTCACTCGCCTTCTTGAAACTCTTTGGCGGGATGAAACTCAAGAGTGATTTAGGAGACCCCAGTGCCCCGGCCTTTGCCTGCCATTTGGCAGCAGGGAGCTGCCCGGTGCCCGTGACTTTGGGGTCTGCCCAGCGACAGGGAGCTGTGTTTCTCAAGGGCACACCCTTCCCGGGCTGCTCACCTTTGGTGACTGAGCGAGAGGGACACTCCCTGGGCGGGCAGGACAGCTCAGAGGCGGACCCTTTGCCAGGCCCCTCGCAGGCCAGCTTTCCCTGCTGCCCAGCCCGCTGCCTTCCGCCCCTTCCCTTCAGTCTCGGGTCCCTAATAATCATCGCGCACCCCGGGCTCCATCGCAGCAGCTGCTTTCCTGACAGCAGCCGCCCACGACCCGGCTGCAGCGACGGATGAAGTGGGCCCAGCTCCCCGCTGCTGTGGCGCTTCCTCTGGCGGGGAGACAGGCGAGCAAACTAACTCCGGGGTGTGTGCTGAGTGTAGAGTGCGACCTGGTCCAGGGGGTCTCAGGGCCGGCTGGTCCTCTCGGAGCAGGCCAGGCGATGCTGAGGCCTGTGGAGGGGACGCCCAGCACGTGTGTACCCCACGCACAGGACCAGTGGGCCAGATCTCAGAGGACCTCCGCTGAGGCCTTTATGGACAGAGCCAGAGGAAGCTCACATTGTTTTACAGCCATCATGTAACTCTTTTCATCCTATAAAACTGAAACTTTGTCCCCATTAAACACTAACTCCAGGGGCTCCTCCCCCAGCCCCTGGCAACCGCCAGCCACTCTACTTTCCGTTTCTATGACTTCGATTGCTCTGGGGCCTCGCGTGCGTGAATCATGCAGTAATGGTCTTCCTGTGACTGGTTTATTTTACTGAGCCTAATGTCCTCCAGGCCCATCCGTGTAGATACTGCAGAATTCCTTTCCTTCTAAGGCTGGGTAAGGTCCCATTGTATGTATAGGCCACATTTTGCTTATCTATTCATGTCAGTGGGTACTTGTCCAGGTTTAGGTGGTGTGAGTCATGCTGCTGTGAACGTGGTGTAAGGCTCTGATTGGGAGTGACAGGTCTGATTTCCCTCTTGATAAGATGACCGTGAGGACTCTGGGTCGTCTGAGGTGGGGTGGGTGGAGTGACAGAGCAGCTCAGCAGAAGACATGGTGGGGTTGGGACCAGCTGATGGCAGTGGGGTGAGGACCTGAGAGGCACATGGACAGGATATCGGGTAGAAGAAGGCGGGTAGGGGAAAGGGAGGTGTCAGGATGAGCCTGAAGGTTTCTGGTGGGGCGGCTGGGTGCCTGGGGACGCCTGGGGTGCTGTTTCCTGACTGAGAAGACTTGGGAGGGGAGGGCTGGGCTGGGGAGGGACGAAGCCTCCTCCGACCCGTGGCTGTCGTCAGGATCGCTCTCACCCAGGCCCCTGCTCCCTTATGCTATGTGCCCACTGCACAGTGTTTTAACTTGGCAGGTTCTACACCAGCCACTCGTGCTATGCGGTTGTAATAAGGGAATAAAAGCTCGAGTGTTACTTTCAAAAAACAAAACACCAAACTTGCCACCCATGAAGACTTGTCCAGTAAATCACTGTGCGTCCACACAATGAACACCCTGTAGCTGAAAAACCAGGGAGGAAGATCTTTGGAACTGATAATGAAATCATGGCCAGGGCAGGCGACAGAGAAAGGCAAAACAGAACAGAACGAGGCAGAACAGAGTGAGAAGCAATAAAAAGGGGCAGAAAGGATCCACACGCGTAATTGCCTGTATCTGCAGAAAGCGCCTCTGGAAGCGGGTGATACTGGCTGTTTCCAAAAGGACACCCGGAAGGGACACGGAGGGAAGGAGATGCCACTGTGAGCACTTCGGTGCCCTTTGAATTTGCAATTGTGTAAATATATTATCGATTCAAAACAAAATTTAAAGAGACAGAAGCGGCCTGACACCTGCTAGAACATGGATGAGCCTGAGGACACTGTGCTAAGGGAAGTAAGCCCGTCACAGGGGACAAGTGCTGTGCGATTCCACTTACGTGAGGCTCCTAGAGCAGTCAGATTCCGAGTTTGAGGCTGGGGATTTGTCCCAGTTCTCGGTGGGACCTGGACAGCCACACCCAAATGTGCCAAGACGGGCTCTCCCATCCCGCCCCTGGGAGAGCCTCCGTTGGTGGCGGTGGCCTTTCTCTCCCTGCCTGGGAGGTGCAGGCTTCTCTGACTTGCCTGTGGGCCAGTTTGGCCAAAAATGTTAGCCTGCTCCTCAAATCCTTAACCCCACACACTGGGAGCTCCAGGCCCGAAAGCTCGAGTTGGCCTTAGCACATGGCAAGGACTGGGAGCCACGGTTACTAGCTGCATGCGGGCAGTAGCCTGGTCACTGTGCAATGACAAACTGTCTGGGGGATGGCAGTGGACTGGCTCGGCTCCTGCAGGGCCCCTCCAACCAGCAGCAGCCTCTGTGCTGGCTGGGTCTGGGTGAGCGCAGATCCAGGCTGCTGGAGCTGTAAGGGCAGGTCCTGGCTACAGCGGGGGAGTGGCCAGGGAGCCGGCTCTGGGCCCAGCCTTCCCCGGGCTCCAGCTTAGAGGGTGTGCCTTGTTGAGGGTGGGAGGGTCCTGGGGGATCTGGAAGCCCTGACGGGGGTTTGGCCTGTAGGGGTTGGACTGTAAGGTTTGCTGACCCCTCTCATGCATTTGGTATGTGTGGGTGCACATGTGGTGCCAGGCTGATCTATGTTCAGTGCCCCTAGGGAGCCTGCCTGGACCCCACACAGAGGTCTGGTAGCAGTGGGAGTGAAAGGGCCCCACCAGCAGCGGCCCCAGCCTATGCTGCCAGAGGTATTGACTCAGACCAGATGTTCGCCCCCTGGGCTCAGTGCTTGGCTATCCTAACAAGCAGGAAGCTGGGGTGCAGCTTGTGCTGGCATCGGGCTTGCTGCAAGTCCCAGCATGGCCCAGAAAACAGGTTGGATGCTGTGGGTGGACCATTCTGACCCTATCCATCTGGCTGGGCTGTTGGGGAGGGACTGGCCAGGCCACAGGCTCACTGGTCAGCTCCTGGGGCAAACTGTACAGTAGGCCCTCCTCCCTCTACCCTGAGCTTTTGGCTCTGTGTTCTCTCAGGAAGCAGCCCCCGAGCAGAGACTTTGGCCAAAAGTGTTAGTCAAGGCTCGGGGTGCAGAGCTGCTTAGGCTCTAACACCTGCCCCTCAAATCCTTAACCCCAGGCCTGTCCCCTGCATTGACACCCCCC